ATTTGGTGCTTTTGTCCGGAACGTCCACATCCATCTGCTAAGCTGCCGGACTATCTGTTCAAGAGGGTTTGATAATAAATATCCCAAACAACATACTGTGTTTCTTCTTCACTTTTCATTTTCTGTTTTTTTTCCCTTCAAATTTGTTTAAAAATTAGGTTTCTGTTTTAAGCTACAGTGCCAAGTTTGCTTCTAGCTTTTATGGACCCTTCCGTGAAGCAGCAAAATCTGCCCCAGCATTCGGGGACCGACGTTGTTATCAGTTACCCCCAGGCTCCAGAGGACTTGCTGCCAGAGCAGTTGTAAGCCTAGCTTGTTTCTTTATTGTTCGTATCCAAAGGCAATTGAGGTCAGTTGACATAAACCTATGTTGTGTGTATGGTGTTTATGTAAGTTGACCTTGATATGAGTATGTGCAGTTCTAACTACTAGTTAGCTTATATTGTTATTCCTAAAATTAATTTTTTTGGAATAACTATTACTGGAATCAGTACTGTATTGTTTATATTATTTTTATTCTATAAGGATCGTGATGTTGCAGAAGGTGCAGACTTCTTAATGGTGAAGCCTGGAATGCCGTACCTAGATATTGTCAGACAAACAAAGGATAAGGTAAACTTTTAAACAACTTACAATAAAATCTGAAACAAACCTCAAACATTCAAATAAAACATATACCGTATGTATTTGAATAAATGCCCCTCTTTGAATAAACATCCGTTCAAGAGCCTCAGTTGGAATGAACACCTCCCTTGAATAAACACCCCCTCCCCCTAACAAAACTAATGGAAGAAACATCATTCTCAACATATTCTATTAATATTCTACTCCAGTAGAATTACATTTTTTCTAACCTGTTGGGATTAAGTCTTTAGGATCACGCAATAACACATTTTGACGGTAATTACATGTTGTAGTTCCGCATTTACAGAGAAATTGACGGGCATTTACTTGAGCATGTACATTTTGAACCAAAAAAATAATTGCTTTCCTCGAATGTTGGGTAGAAAACCACAATGTCGGGGAGAAAAAAAAAATGCATATGTATTTTCTACATATTAGTTTGCTCTAAATCAAATTAAGAAGAGTAGGACTCCTAATGGCTTTTCAAAAAACATAAAAGGAAATAGGTAGACCAGCATGTAAGCTGGCTATATTTTTGGACAACCACACACCTCCCCTACCCCCACCCCCACCAAATAGCAATCCTGGATCTGGCCCTGTGTAAAGCAAAACCTCTATTCTCATGACCTATCTTATTGCAAATTCTGTTTTTCAGTATCCTAACATTCCTTTAGCTGTGTACCAAGTGTCTGGAGAATATGCCATGTTATACCATGGAAGCCAGGCCGGAGCCTTCCAACTTAAGACTGTTGTCATGGAATCATTAACAGCCATGAGAAGAGCAGGTGAGGTAGATAGCAAGTCATAATGATGATTGCATACAGTTAGTATGACGCGTGCGTCATCATTTATGACGTCATACGCCGGTTCATGTCCGCTAACCGTGTGGACTAAACACATACTGTATCTCAATCACTACACATAAGTGAAAAACGCGTAGGAACATTTTGGATTTCTAGTACGATCTTCATTTTTTTTCTTCACATTTTACAGTAAGTTTGAAAAATAAATGTATCTTTAATATGTACGTGCCATTTTTATGTCTTTTGAAGACAGCAAGTTACGATAGGATGCGTCTCATTTTGGGGTATTATAAAACGTTGTTGCTTGGTAGTGTCAGGATTTTCCTGTAGGCCTAGCTTATATAGTAGCCAGGCATTTTTGAGTTGCAAAATAACCAACTCTCCTGGGCAAGAAGGGATTCGACTACCATTTAAATTTTTAAAACCTTACATACCAAAACTTAGGCCATGCCAAAATCTGATTGTGAGATGCATGATGAGAGAAGAAAATGGAATAGCCTAGCTGGGCTAAGCCTACTAAGGCCCTATGCTATATTTGGCTGTCATTGCAAAAAGCACAGCATGGCTACAAACCACGGATAGCTAAACATATATGTACACATATCGCGTGCGAAACCTCTGTGAAAATAGTCTGATGTTGATTACATCAGTCTGTTATTGACTGATTATATTGGAAAGGATACTGAAGAAATTTGTAATTTTGTTCAGTGATTAAGTGATTTTATGGACAGTTAATACTTCTTTTTTTATAGACTGAAAAATGTATGTCTTGTATTCATTCCCACAGGTGCTGATTTGATTATATCTTACTACACGCCACAGTTACTAGGCTGGCTTCAGCCTGAGCTAGGAGAAGAGGATGACTGAGCATTCCTGGAGGGCATATATGTCATGTTCCCATGAAATCTGGACAAAGTAGCAAAAAATTTTGAATTTCAGACAATTTTATGTGCTACAATTTCCTTGATTAGTTTAGAATAGCCAGACCAAATATGCCCCTCTTAAATTTTTTATGAATCCGATTATCATTAATAGGCCTATTTATTACTATCCTAGGCCTTTAAGAGTAGGAGGTAAAAGAATCACTTCTTATGATTAATTTTCTGATGAGAAAAGGGAATTCCCATATCACATTAAAGGGCCCTGCAATTAATCTTGCACTGGGCCTTTTCGCACCTAGCTACAGTATGCCGCTGTGCCCATATATGGGTATGATATGACATCACCATGCACTTATAAGGACAATTCACACACATTTGTCAAATAAAATTTGTTAGTGTGAAAAAAACTTTAGTACAACTGACAAAACAACTTCAAACTTCAGTAGGCATGCATAAGTTCAGTTTACACATTACTGAATGCGCAGTAAACAGTTAGAAAATTGGCTTAGTTTCCAAACTCTTTTAAAATATATAAGAAAATAAGAAATTGTAACTTGTACTTTTTAGTTGTAAAAATTATGTCAGAAGATAGATAGTATATGAACATAGAACAAAATATCAAACTTGATAATTTTTGAAATAACAATTTACTTATTGATTTTCTCTAAATGTTAACTTGCAACTTCGTCCAGGTTTCAAGGAAACATGTCAAATATCAGCTTACGAATTGCGGAAAATAATGAGCAATGAACAACGGTATAGGGTGTAGCTTGATGTTATTCCAATAAATTTTTAATGTAACCCGCTAAAATCCTATTGCACCCTACTATTATATTGTAGTGGACCATACAGTATTTCAGCCTTCTGATAAACCAAAATGTGCTGTGATGATAGGTCAGATCGTTTGTGTATTGTTGAGTGCCTGTTGTACCCTTCAGGTAACTTCCATGTGTTTGTGATAGGCCATCATATCCCCTCAGATGACCCCCCCCCCCCAACCTGTGGTAATGTTGTTATAGCACCCTAGGATAACCCCATGTGCTATGTCAGGACATTATATGCCCAAGATGACTATTTCACTGGTAGGCCATGTGAGAATATTGTAATAGCTTTTACAAGTGTAATAGTTTGCTGGGTGGGTGAAGTACAGTGTGTACAAGTGGCTACCAAAGATTTTGCTATTAAGGCCTTTATGTGGTATATTTTACATAAACCAAAAGCAACTACAGTATAAGATTGAATTAATAACAAAAAAAAAAATGTGTTGGCATATTGTTCATCAATTTATTAAAATATCAATATATATTTGTATTGGCCTTCAAATAAGGAGCAAAAAAATTAGGCACATGTAATGGGGTCCTAGTTGTGTTATGCGGGAAAAAAAATGTTTGTACTGTATAGCATGTACTTAAATCTTCATATGCAAATGAGTTACAGCTGGTTCTGTAACAAGGTCAAGGGACATGCTTATAATTTTGTGTTCCAAAGCATAAAGACCTGACACTCAGCATTTTAATGTTGAAAAATATTTTGTGTTTGTTATATTGGACATTTTGATACCAGATCAGCACATGAAACAAGATGGTGTTTTTCATTGGATGTTAAAATAACGCTTATTACTGTATTTGTAAAAATGTATCTTCCTTCGCAGCACATATTGACAGACTAAAATTAAGTTGTGAGAAATAAACATAATGTCTTGTACTGAAGGAGCCTTGTTGATTCTCTTATTGTTCTAATTTATTTTTTTTTTCTATTCATAAACATTTTATTGCTATTTGAAGTCTCTGTAACCAAAATATAAAAATTTTCATGTACAAAATCTACTTTGTGCACTCAATTTTTCACAAAAAATAGGAACCATATTATCTCTTGGCCAACTGTTCAGCAGTTTCCTATTAAAACATAGAATCTGCTTTACAAATTGCTTACTACATCAATACTAAGTGTTAAACTTAATAATATATATATAATATATATATATAGTGTAGTTTTATATAGCGCACATATCCATCTAATGTAAGATGCTCAGGGGGCTTGATATGTGGACAAGGAACTCAATCCATGACTTTCTTCACCCCTAAGGGTCCCTTAGTGTCTGTGCTACCCGGTAACCCCTCCTCCAGATCTGCCAATGTGCTTGTCCCACAAACCCACGTGACGTGGTGTCCTGCAAACATGTTTGTTCACGTATGTTTATACACTCCTTTTGTGAAACCTTTGCTGCAATTTGGTGCTTAGCAGAACCAATCCATCTTGCAGTCAAAATGTGTCCAACAATGTTTGTCCATTAAATCATTTCATTTGTGTGCCTGATCAGCGAGGAGATACTGTTAGAAAATGAGATGATTGACTCTTATCTACTGTATGTAGTAAAGAACAAGATCAGAAATTATCAGGGACCAGCAAAGCAGTTTTGCACAAAAAATCTTATAGTTGAGTTTTAAAAATAAACCAACATAATTGAACAGATTATGAACTCATATTTAGACTCAATAAGAGAATTCATTCATTCATTCCAATCCTCATAACAAGTAATAATAATACTATGCACAAATTTATATAAAAAAATTTCTTTATTATCTTTTTAAATTGAACTAACAAGTAATAATTTCTTAGAATATTAGAATTGAAAGGCATAGGGTCATTTTTTTATTGATGACATACTCAACAGAAATGCTCTGCATCATTAGGCCTACATATATAGAACTTCAAGCTAAATGCTTTTAATGTCAACAACATATCTATATCATGATCAACACAATAGTTTGGTCTTAAATGTAAATTTTATACTCAAACACAGTATTCTAAATCATCACCTGAATTCATATTATACTGTACATCAAGAACACAGTGCATTGAAAACTTTAGAAATTTTTTTAATGAACTATATTAACTGAAGATGTATTGTATACAATACAATAAAAAACAAACCCCTTTAGCATGAGATTATGCAGTTTACAATTTAAAAACATTAAATTGCTCAAGTTATTAAAGATTTAAAAAAAAAAATCAATTTTTGCAAGAATTGCAGACTGATAATGTTTAAATTATCTGCCAGTCAATTTTATGGCAAATGTGAAAGAATTAGAAATGTATTTCTTGTACAACCATGGACCTATTAAGAACTATACTCTTTTAATTGGCACAGATATATTTTAAAATGAAGTAAATAATTTTTACATTACTTCAAAATGGGCAAGTAAATTTCAAAAATTATTTTTGATTTTTTTGGGAATTTCACATGGGGACAATATATCTTTAAATTTGTTTAGATTGAAGACATTTCGAGGTCAAATTTTTATTTTGTTCATAACTTTCTACAGCATTCACATGCATACAATAACTAACAATCACTGTTGATATAACAATGAAAGAATTTAATCATACAAATAATTTATACAGTACTGAAATATTGCGTAAACCAGAAATATAAATAATAATTTAAAGAGAATGAAACACAAATGTTTAAAGAGTTCAAATATAAATTAATTATTTCAGAATTATCCAAACTGGCTGAAATTATTATCATTGGAAGCAAGGCTCAGATGTATGAAGGCAACCTTAAGTAGAAACAAAGAATCAAAAAGGGGCAAATACAGTCGTAGAAACAAAAACCAATATTGCACGAAAGTAAATTAACACAGTTTAACTATATGTGGGGGGTGGGGAAAGGAGGAGTGAACTCTCCCTGTTTCTGTAGACCAGGTCTAGGCACAGGCTGGCTGCTTTGTCTCCTATAGTACCCTGTATGACTGAATAGGAATGGCTTTTTTTTCCTGAAATATCTAAATCAATTAAGAACATTAACATTATATGCTATAAAAACATCTGGTAAGCATTCAATTTATAATTTTTTGGACAGTATAGGAGGATTTGAAGAGGAATAAAAATAAGTTTTCTCAGCACTCATCTTGAGTGTCCGTATTACACTAATACTATTATTAACCACTCAGACTTATGACTTCAAAGCATTCTAGCTCAATAAAATTGCTCTTATATTCTAACACATCATTGTTTTAATAATTGACCTTTTCTCAAATATTTTTATATTTTAAAAGCAATAAGAACCACAAAAAATATTTTGAAAAAAACATTTTAAAATTAATTGTAAAATGTATGTAAAATAATTGTATTGTGAATACAGTATTTTATTTTGTATTGTATTTATCTGTATTCAATATTCACTCACAATGAAAAGGTAAATTTACAGTCTTTGTGAAATGGAAAGCTGCATCATCTTTAAAAATACTGTACTGTTAACATATTCTGAATAAAATTGTGGTAAACACCCACTCGCATAATTCAAGACAATATTTTGACATGCTGCAGAATTCACTAAACACTGACCACATGGGACAATATAACCCATTAGCATTATTACACTGACATTTTAAATTGAGCTTTTTTCTATTGAGAGGCTTGATAATTTCTAGCCGGTCTAGTAGAAAGAATTCAGATGAGTTGCAATTAAAGGCAACGTGATCATTTAATATTCTGAGCATGAATTCTCTTAAATACCCAAGTACTTAACATCTAATTATTGAATGTTCACAATTAAATTACCACGCTTATAGACTCTCTGCAAATAAATCATTAAAACTAATTATTCATTTTCAATATTCTATAATTTGCCTGAGGTGGGATATGCTAGCACATGACAATGGCACATGCTGGTTTAACAATTTTTTAAATGCAATTTTATAAATTTACAAAAAACACATTCTGCAGATATTGGCAGCAATCGTCATACAAGGGCTTGCCCAGGGCTGGAAAAAGTGCAAGACCATGCGACTGGTGGTCGGAGGCAGTGGCGTAACGATGTGGTCGGGGCCCTGTGTATTTCTGAAACTGGGGGCCCTTTTTGGGTCCCAGTCACCAATTCCATCGTGTGATTTTAGATGTGCACTGTTATTCTAAATGTTTTTAATGACGAATAAATGATATAATATGGATCCAGAAAATGGCACTTCACAGACATAAAATTGTAAATATATTTTTTATCTCCAGTTAAAAAATATTTTGACAAATTTAGCGGCGCCCCGGGCCAGCAGCTCCCACCCCCCACACACGGGGCCCCCTTTCTTTCATCGTTATAATATGATATATGCCCTACAGTCGATTTCAGAGACACATTATGGTGTTATTTATCAACAAAGTCCTTTTTGGTCAGGGTGCTAGATCGACGAACCTATGAGTAGGGCCCCTTCGGGGCCCCTATAGAATTTGGGGGCCCTGCGGATAGGCGTTACGCCACTGGTCGGAGGCATATGATTTATTCTGGAGGCATTTTTGGGGAAATAGTTGGGCTATATAGTGTATGGATAACATTTGATGATGGAGGCATTTCATTGAGACTATCTTCATGGTCGGAGGCACAAATTTTTTTTTTTTTCCAGGCCTGGGCTTGCCATCCCAAAACCAGCATCAAAATTGAATTTTTTAATATATCCTTATTCTCCACATTACAAGCTTTAAAATAATGGGTCATTTACTAGAATCAACTTACCATTGCCAAAGTTATGAGTAAAAGTATTACAGCTTCTCTGTACTAAAGTATACAATACTACCACATTCTTATGCTAATTACTCAGTTGAACATTTAGCAACAGTACACTAGTTTTGGGATGGTAAGCCTCATATGCGTGACCTGCTTGTTAGTATCAAATACAGAATATCATATTAATATCTATGTATATAATATATGACAGTATATGCATGGGTCCACTGCTAGAATTAAGTATTGTACATTAAATATAACAATGTGATCCTACACTTTTGAAAACATATCAGATATAGACAGTTTATTTTATGGATTTAAAAATTTAAAATCACAATTAGCACAGAGGTCAAGGGGTACAATCAGCACCAAGGTCAAAGGGTACACAGCAGTACAAAGGTCAGGCACATAGTCACATGACTGCTATATCTATAAATACCATCAGAGTTTACAGACTCTGATCAAATATCATTCAAGTTTACTGAGTACAGCACTCAAAACAGTGGCAACACCCTAATCATTGTGATGTGTTTATCTTCTGCAACACATGGAGTGGATATATTTGTTTTAAAACAACTTTCTCCTGGTTACACACCAATCTCATCAATAAGTGGAAACGAGCACTGTCACAATACCATCGATGAAAGGCCATCTTTTAATGCCAGTCATCAACCATTTGCAATGGTAACTTTAATTCCTCTAATTTGCTTCACCAACGTCTAGTATCATAATCCATCTTGAAGTATTCTGGATCGATTCTAATCTGTTTCGCCAACCTCCAGAAAGATTGATCTGACATCCAAGATGGATGCTAACTCTAGGACGTGCTTATGCAACAGAGCATTCTCCATTATGTCATTGCCACGGAGGTCAGGATGGGATTGTGGGTAAAAACTTTCATCCTGCAATAATCAAAGGAACCCAATTTAGATTATTATAATCGTACCTTTAATGGCAGTAAAATCATTTTTGTAGTAATTTTACTACCGGTTGGCTTCTAGTGAGGAAAAAAGACAGCATGGAAAGGAACTGGCCACCAGACCACACAAGGTCTAGGTTTAATACGATGGGCTAACAGCTCATTTCCCTACGTTCAGTAATGAATACAGGACTACCTTCATCTTTCGTAATTTTATTACACTTAAAATACTTTAATACCTAACAAAATACTTACAATCACATACGGCTTTTTGATTTTGGTGGTAAAGGGGGGGGGGGGGGGGTGAGGGTTTTAGAAATTAAATAAAACACTTACTTTGAAACCACGGTGGTATCTTAGTGTTGCGTAGCAGAAGACATAACGAAGGATAAATAGCCTCAAAAATTCATCACCATAAAATTGCATATAGACATGATCTAGAAAGAAATAAACCAAGACATTCATTAATTTGCTGTATTATTATATCAATTTATTTCCTACATTTTAATCAAGTATATATTTAGCAACTGTGGCTAACTGACATGGAAAAGTTAAGACAACAGGAGGTCTAAAAGGCAGAGAAAACGATATATGGAGGAAAAGCCTTGGTGGGAGTCAAGTCCTGGTGACTAGAGCATTTTTGGGCCAGTTTAGCATCTTCTGAAATGATTTACTGGTATAAATTATGGTATGCCCAAAAAAATATAAGTAAACAAATAAGCCTTCAAATGGGGTCACAGTCCTATCTTTTGAAACCCAGGACTTAGGTCAACAGAACTAATGTTACTCTCTCATTTGACACCTATTGAGTTAATTACAGCTAACAATACTTACCAATACCCCTAGATTTGCAAAGCAAATTCGCAGAATCATTGACAACCTTTACCATGACCTTCTTGCACTTAGCCCACAAGTCCGCAGGAACATCTGTAATGTCACAGATGGAACAAAAGGCCATCAAAGGATCACTGAGGAACAAGGTAAAAAGGTTTCCCTTCATTGGACACCGTTCCTGAAGGGTCAGAGGTAACGCAACTGGCGACATGAGGATGATAACTGGTTGACCGAACAAGTTTGGAATACCCTGTCAATGCCATTAAATAAAAAAAAATGTTGTTAAAAACTACTTTTGAATATATTAATATCAATATAAAGCTTGTAAGTTCGGTATTAGTGTAACATTATGTAACTTACCTTAAAGACGTGACTATTAGGACTGTCAACAATTAGAAAGAGAGGCTTCCTGGTAAATGGATAAATGTCCCCTGGATGCACACTGAAGGAAACATCAAAACAAATATTTCCATAGTAAATTTAAGTCTATGCATATATATTTTCATTGTATATTTCAGTCTATAACTTATATGGAATGGCATAACATGTGCTATCTGACATTGGAAAGCATTGATGATGACAATGATGACGATGACAACGGCTATGATAATGAGCATTGCTGATGATGACAATGATGATAATTATGTTAACAATGATGAAGATGATAATGATGAAGATGATTATTATGATGGTTAGAAAGACTATGATGATGATTGATGATGATGATTATGATAATGAGCATTGCTAATATGATGATAATAATATTAATGATGATGATAATATTGATGATGATTATGATGATGAAAATAATGAGGATGATAATGCAAATAACAATTATGATGAGAGTGATAATGATTAATACATGTTAATTTGAATTTCAAGAAATAATACACAACAGCTAGTATTCACAATAAACATGAACAAATTGATTCCATAAACAATGTGTTCTGGATAATAATATACGTTGCTTGCTTTTTCATTCATGAAGCAAGATATGCAAACCCTTCAATGTATAATAAAGCGTGACTACTGGGAATTAACCATGGTTATTATCTTTGCCGCTTCATATATAATATGCTAATATATTGAAGAGTGTAGTCATATGGTGAATGCATAAACAGTTAGAGACAAAAGGACTGGGAATTACAGAATGAAGGTAAAGCAAGAGCTAAATAAAATAAATGAATAATGACTTGAAGAAACTAGATTAGGAAAAAAGGAGAGTGGATAACATGAATGGATGGTAGTGGTTAAGATGCCTCCTTTAAATCTATGGGACCTAGGTCAATTTCTATAAAATAATCATATTACTCATAAGACTCAAAATTAAGCATAATTATAATCATAATCATAAGCAAAATTATGAAACTTAGCTTAATATCACAATTTTTTACTCTTTTTATATAATTTGTTCTTATAATCGCCACAGGCTACGTACCAATGCATTTCTTTAAGATTGCCACTTGGTTTGTTCGATCTTTGTTCGGAGCCTTCTTTGCGGTTGTTTGTAGCAATGCCACCATAATCATAAGCACCATAATCTTGTGGTTTTTCGCAACCGTTAGAACCATCAGCCGACATGTACAGCAATAAGGCTGCATTTGGTGGAAGCTCCTATTAGCCAATCAACAATTAATATCCAACCAATAATCAATTAATCAATAGATTAATGGATCAATCAATAATGTGTTCCATATGTGCTTGATCCAATGACCAGGGGTAATAATGTTAAGCACATAGAGGTCTCTACAATATGTTCTCTATAAATCAACCATCATTATTACTATCGATTAATATTTAATTATGTAATAAGTAATCAATCAATCATTAAATTCTAATATGCAATAATTAATCAATCAAAATTGATAATCAATCAATCAATCATTATTTAATTAATCAATCAACAACAATTGATTAATACTTACAATCAACAATAACAAATAAATAAATTAATCAATGTTTATGTATATATGTGTATATATATAATTACTGTAATGTATTTTACCTTATCTATCATTTATAGTGACAAACCTATGACCTACAATTCAGAAATGAACCTATTAATCAATACACAATCTACATAAAATTGGTTATCTTTTATATTATTAATAAAATTATTAATAGTTAAATACTATGTTTATTATTGAATTGAAATTTTTGGTTGAACTAATTTCCTCTTTAATTTTTGAACACTCTCAGTGATCTTTCTCAAGTGGATTTCAATTTAACTTTTATTACACTGTTGACTAATATTCTTATCATTTCTATTACTCAACCCTCATTTTTTAAAATATTCACATTCAATTTTAATAACAATCTTTTAATTAAGAACAACTCTGAATTAGACAGATTCAGATAAATAAAACAGAAAGGTTAGAAAAAAGCTTTACACTGACCCACTTGCTAGTAATAAAATGTCATAGCTAATTGAAGTATTGAAAGTTTGTCATAAAGTGATACATCACTGTGCATTACTGAATGCCAGATGTTTATTCATCACCAGCAATTGCCAATTCTTATCATGAAATGATACATGGTGGCATATTCCAATACTGAGTGTAAGCTAACATTACTATACTAGTTACAGTATTCTCCAGGCCATAGAAAGATATATACTATGTTCTCATACCAGGGTAAAAAAAAAAATATGGTTTCATTTCACAAGATCTGTTTTCTGATTTTAGGTCAAGAAAATAAACCTCCTTATTCAGTGTTCCTCATCATGATATCATTAACGATATACAGGTAGCAAAAGTTAAAATATATCCATCACAAAATCAATTATTATAGGATTGAATTGCCTGTTCACAAATGTAATTAGAACAATATTGCATCACATTATGCAGAATTTGCAAGATTAAATCAATAACAAGCATATTTTATATCAACAGAGAATGTGAAATATTTGATTTTTGAAAATTTTGAAAATGCATTTGATGCTAAAAATTTACAGTAATGTACATTAATACAAGCCAAAATTTTGAACTGGCAAAAAGCTAGATAATGTGAGGTAACTAGCTTTGTAAATTAAGATGTAATTCAAAATATTCAATTCATTAAACTGACTTTTATTCTTGTATTAATCTTAAAATAGTATTGTTTGCTTTATATCATATTATGCTAATTCATTGTTATAGTTGTGTTAAACACTATACTTTAAAATACTATCACATGTACTAGCTATTCTTTACCCATCTACGACAAGAAAAGAATGATGTAGCTTATTAGTGTTTCATCATGTAATGTGACATTCAGGTGATTTCAATGTTCATGAAAATAAATATTTAAAAAAAATATATAATTATAAAATAATACATAAAGTAAAATGGTAATAGAATTTACAATTATAAAACAAATATAATAATTGTAGCTGAAATCAAATAAAGTAACACAAATGATTTATATACAAATATATAATCTAGTTTATAAGACACAATGATGAAGCTAGCATCAACCACAAGTGAAAGCCATAAAAACGATCGAAGGTTAGTCAGTATTACAAAAATAGCTTGTTAATAATGCCTACCTTGAAAGCTGTACCCATGAACGTGTAGAACTGACCAAATGTTGGTTTATACAGTAGGTACTTATGTGGGTTTTCCTTTTTTGACACTTTCTGAAGATTATCCTGAAATTGTAACAACACCACATCAATTTCATAATAGATATGTTTCACTATAAACGAAAGTTATGATACATTGTAACTGATAGCATTGGACGAACACTGCTCTGATATCATGTAACACAGAGCAAGTTTAAAGCTAGTTTACTCATGACCTTAAATTCTAAATGCCAATGTGTATAACTTTATTGGAAATAATAATACAATAATTTATTCAATTTATTTATTTATTCAAATTTCAGATATGTCAAACAAAAGCACAAAACAATAAAATCCAAAACGGAAGAAGAAACCTAACAGGTGCAGAACACCAAGTTGGTAAACAACAATACAAAGTTGGGAAACCCTAAACAAATAACATTACATAATTCCATGTCAGTTTTAAGCCTTCTCCAAATTATCAAATTTTATTTGTCAAAAACATGCGACATTCTTAAATATAGTCATGATGACATCATATCATGACCATATATAGGCACAACATGACTATATATGGGCATACATCCATTTTTTGCACCATGCTCTTCATATTATTCTTCTCAAAGATCAAACAACTGTAGAATATATACTCGGCTTCCAATAATGTTGCAGCTACTGTAGGAATTTATGCATTGGCATTGTTGTTGAGATAGCAAGTTATATTTATTAAGCTATAGAGGGCAGCATTTGTTTTGTCATGTTTTTTTAAGGTCACGTCACGACACAAAACCAACGGTCAGCTTTTGACTTCCATTCTAGAAAGGTGCATTCACATGGAGTCCGGACTTTTGGTTCAGAGAGCATACCAAACCGATTAGAAAATTGAATCAGTGTAAAAGAATAGGGACGCTGGCATTAGCTTATCAGAAACAAGGGCTGAATTTCGGTTCAGACCCAATGTAAATGTAGGTTAAATCTTTGAATATAAATTCAGGGGCCAGATTTATCAAACTAGAAATCAGCTTAAATTCGTCTTAAGTCCATTTTTTATACTTAAGTCTGACTTATCAATAACGCTTCAAGCTTAAAAAGTGCTTAAAATTAAAAGGTTGATTGTACGCATGTGACATCTAAGACAATTTTTAAGCTAGATTTTGCAAAGATGGTTTGATAAATCAGCTCAAGATATTTGCTTAGGGACATCTTAAACTTTTTTGTCTTAAGACATTTGCAAAGCTGGGATTGATAAATCCCGGCCATGAGCTTTATATATGTGCCAAAATATCCTATAATAACAATAACAAACAAGAATAACTATCACACAAAAAAAGTAATGTAATGGTATTGGTGTAATGATATCTTCATTGCTGACTAACCTGTGATTCTGGAATGATGTGATCTGATTGGCTGTTTTCTGGATCTGGTTCCCTCTCAATAGTTTGCAACATTCTATACATATCAAGGGTCAACTCACTGAATTTAACCTTTACAAAAACAGAAATTAATTTTTGTACAGGAATAATATGTGAAGAACAACTGTATCTCAGTGGGAATACCGCATTCAGCATGTTTCTCGTACAACACATTTGGCTCGAGTGAGTTGGGTATGTCTCGAAATATTGTAATGGAGGGATTTGAACCCAGGAATCCGAATTGGAATGGTAAGCAAGGATCTAGACCACCAACCTATAGCTTCACTCCTCTCTGTGTTATACTGATTCCAAATTCATGGGTAGACAAATTGTAAAATATTATCACAGTTACAATTTGGATGACTGAAAGACCCAGAATATGAGTACAGCATAATCTTCACCAGCCTTGACAAGGTTGGTAAAGTATATGATATATCACAAGGGACTCTTATGAAATCTTGGAAAATTTTTCAAGACTGCTACATGGATATGTTTTCACAGGCAACGATATTTGTTTTACAACAGATGATATTATGTAAGAGTGAATTGGGTATAACAAATGTTAAGGTTTTGTTGAGATGCATCAGCTGTTTTTTTTTAGTAGAGTGCTAAAAGAAAATGAACCAAACATAACAACATCGATAAAACTGGGGAACAGTACTGGATGAAAGTGTACAAGGATGGCTCCAAGGAAAAACTGTAAGCAAAATTATTATTCATTTAATCTTTGTAAAGGTGTTGCCAACATACCTGTTCTTGAGAGTTGCCTATAATCAATGCCTCCTGCAGTGTGATATACACAGGACAACCTTTCTCTAGTGGAGGCAGCATGTCCTTGCTAAGACGATGAGAGAGTGTAAGTTGCTTTGCGTCTTTATCAACAACAGTTACTTGAGCATCTGCCTGCAAACGAGTTTAGCAACAAAGCATAACAAGTTTAGCAACAAAGCATGGTGTAATAAAATAAAGGAATTAGTGTCAATGAAAAAAATTGTGAAACCTTCAGTCTACCCATATACTGTACATATGGCACTCTAAGTTATGATGATGAAGATAATGATGATGATGATGATGATGATGATGATGATGATGATGAGGATGGTGATGATGAGGATGATATAATAATTTTATATTTGACTCTCACTCAATAATTAAGATCATTTAATGATGATGAGTTTAGCAACAAAAATATAATGCCTTCATTAAATTTCCATTAAATAATCATAATCTGGCTGATGGATTGTACATATTGTCCCACAATATACATTACAGCGAAAGACAATCCTCAAATAACTACTTTAAGCAGTAAACCTTGTGATGTTGCATAGAAAAAAAAAATGTTCAATACTGCTTAGCAATTTGCATTAAACTTCTGTATTAGCCAACACGGAAAACTTACTTCAATAAAAGCATTGATCTCTCCAAGCACTAATGACCATTCCATCTTGTCAGATGTATCGAACAAAGTCACATACTCATCAATATGCCGGGATAATTCCTACAGGAAAAAATATTAATTACATGTTTTTGAAGAATAGATGATATAAATAGCAGATGACATTCAGCAATTCAGAATTGGATGACAATGCGAAACATGCAGGGAACAATTCTTTTGAAAGACATAAATTTTATATAATGACAAAATATCTCTATACCCACCAAGTTTCAAATATTATTCTTTTTGTATACAAAATAATTGTACTAAAAATTTACAAAGAATATAGAAAAAAGTCCAATTATTAATAAAAAGAGAGAGAAACTGATAGCGTATCTATTTTATTTTTATTTTACTATTTAATATATAATTTTTATATATTAATATAATATAGTCCTATTCACTGCATAAATATTTTCTTCTATGGACAAACATAATGATTCCACAGAGGGACTATGAATATGCCCATCAATGCCCTGGGGCATTTTATTCAAATGAATACAGAAGTTAAATTTTGTACTAAAAAGTAAATTTATCATTGCCTTAGTTTTAATAGCTGCCTTGGTAGTGATTACAAAGTCTGCGTTTTGGTAATCCCTAGGTATTCATTTTAATGTTTTATATGTTCTTATATTGCCTGAATGGCTCATGTTTATTGCTGATAATTGTGGTTTTAGGTTAACAAATGTTAAACATTATATCTGTGCTAAAAATATTTAAATGTCATATGTAATGTCTTTTTTTCAGGTTACACTGTATCGTAATATAATCTTCGAATTGAATTACAAATATTTAAAATAAAATGAATATAATATTATTTCTTGCTTCTCTATTTTATTCTATATATTTTTTTCTTTTTATCAACAATGTATTTCTATAGCCAGAAAAAAAAAAGATTTTAGATGCAGGATTTCTTATCTATTATTCTATTTTTTTCTTCTTATCAACAATGTATTTCTATCGGCAGAAAAAAACCAGATTTGAGATGCAGGATTTTAACATTTAATTGCTTGGAATTACTTATAAGAGCTTCACAGAAAGGCAAATGGTACTTATTTATTTCAATCTGCTGTCAATTTTATTGCCTTGAGTCTCATTTGTGATCTATTCTAGAGAATACAGGCCAAAGTACAAGCAGGCCAAGTCAGGCCAAACTATTCACAGAGCAATTAGGAATCTGCCATATGCTTTGCACACTGTAGATATTATAATTTTATATGATATTTTTAATTGATTTGCTGTTGAAGGGACAAGGGTATCTAAAAAAAAACTATACTCGGAGATGAACAAGAATCAAAACCTTGTTTTGAAAAAGATAGGGGAATCAGACTGCATTGCTGTGAAAGGGACAGGGATCAAACTCTCCTTTCAAGGTCCAGGGACATCAAAGCACTGCTACAAAAGGGGCAGAAAAATCAAAACTCTGCTGAGAAATGGACAGAGGAATTGGACTCTATTGTGGAATGACAAAGAAATCAAACCTCCCCTGTGGAAGAAACAGGAGTTCAAAGTTCTGCTGTTAAAGAAACAAACAGAATCAAAACTCTGCTGTAAAAAAAACCTGAGGAATCGATGTTCCATTCTAGAAGGGGTTGGTAATGAAAGAAACAGGGAAATAAAAGCTCTACTCAGAAAAGATCATCATATTCAAGATCACATCTCTGTTGTGGAAGTAACAAGAGCTAGCTCTGCTATGGAAGATGACTAAAATCAAAATATTGTCGTGTATGATACCTAATGAATTCAAAGCTCTGCTGTCCATGAAGATGCAGGGAAATGCTGTACAGAAGGGACAGAGGAATTAAACCTAAATAAATATCCTCTTTCGATCCTCTCCCTTGGCATTTGGTAAAGAAATATTTATAATTATCATTTTTAATCACCTACAACAAAAGATAAGGTAGATAATGTTGGTATGGTATGAGTTTTACAATATTATCAAAATGGAGTCTGAGCACCTCAGAAATGTCTGGATACATGATTAAAAATATATGTTATTATTACTATTTTTATACATAAAAGCATTAATAATAACAGAGATTATCATGTTTATTTATGCTTCATATGTGAATTATAAATGTATAACTTTTCAGATTTATTTTTAACCTAACAGCATAGAAATAATGCAATAGTAGTAGAGTAGGCCTAAGCTGTACTCTGATTATGGATTAGAATCATACACTATGAGTACTGTATTTGCCGATTTGCCTCCTAATCTTACTTCTAGTTATTTAATTAAGACTATTTAAAAATACTGTAAAAGCTCTTAGCTTGGTTTCCACACCATCGCTACGCTTTTGCTACAGTGTTTTTAGTGTGCAATCATTGTACTGCCTAGCAGTCCCCAACGAAATCGGGAAGTCTCCTGATTCGACCGACCAATCGGCATCACCGAAAGCTGTCAGTGATAGCGTGTAGCGATTGTATGGAAACCAAGCTTCTCAAACTCACAACAATTAAGTAGTACTTAATACTTTACAGTATAATTAGTAATAAATATTCAATGGTTTACTATTTAGGTTCAAACTTAACAACAAATAACTAGAAAACGTACTCAGAAAACATTGCAAAAATTCATGGAACCTATGAATAATTTTGTTTTTCTTTTTTTTAATGATGAAAAGAAAATTAACATTAGATGCATTAACATTGCATGCATTAAATATAACAACAATGAAATTAGATTTTGTTTGTAGTGATAGCAATATACAATGACATGAACTAAAGCTACAGTAATTCAGAGAAATAACAGAGTACTTTGTCACTGGTTGTAAATATACTATAGCATGTGAATAATTAAAATGGCCAGTGGTTGTTTGCAATGCAAATGAAATGTAGCAGATCTCATTGATTATCCAGCACAGGACACAGCCAACCCCTTAAGCAAATGCTCAACCAGCTATCATATGCATGCATTTACTAGTTTATTTCAATTTATTTTGCATAACATGAATGTCAGTCCAAAAAATGACGAGGCCATTTTATTCTACATTTTGCTTTTAATTTAAGCATCATCAGGAATAATGATAATAATTTATTCCTGCTTAAATAAAAGCAAAACCTAGAATAAAATGATCTTGTGTCAATTTTGAGATTGACATTCATACTATTTGCACATCCTAATGGAACTTTGTTCTTCTTTCACATAACATTTTTAATTCATTTTTGTTTAATTGAAATTAAATTTACAGACTATCTATTTATAGTTGAATTGCTGATCAACTGTTATGCGATAGACCCAAAGTGATAGACAACCAGATATCCAAAAGCCTTTGTGTCATTTTTTTTTACTTTCCTTAGTATTCTTCCCAATATTTTTGTTATTTACTTTTTCACTAATGAGCTAGCAGTCAGTATGCAGATACCGTGATAAATAAAGGATCCATGCTAGGGCTTGGCTGTGACCAAACTAGTTTGTTTTGTTTGTTTTTTTCTTTTATACTTTTTGATTCTACATTTTCTGAGCTACTGCAACACTGTATTGCCAAATATCAACCAATCTAACCTAAAAAAAATTCCAAAAATTTAATAATATATGTAGTATTAATATTATCAATATTACTACAGATTAGATTACTGTAGATTAAATATATGGGTAAGTTTTAGGTTTTAGCCTTTTAGACCCCATATCTTAGTCTCTCCAAAAATTATCCAAGCGATTTTTGAACACATTTACAGACGGAGCCGAGATGATGTCTTCAGGTAAGCTATTCCACACAGAATATATTAATGTTGCTGTATTGTGTAAATTGAAGTATTATAATTGGTTTTTACAAGGTTGGTCACAGAATATACAGTATTAATTTAATGCAAACAAAAATTGAATATAACATTTACAGTATCATAAATGAGAACAACATTGTTGTATGTGAGTAGATTCTGGTATCAAGGCTCATTATAATGATATCAGTTTTTGTAACAGAAGTATTATGACATTTTATGTTAATAACTCTGTTTATTCACACATCTACTGTTTGGTGTAGTTATTGCTTATTGCCTTTTCTGTTTTTCTTTTTTATATGTTGCAAATGCTGTCATTTATTTATAATTTCTTTTTTTATTTTGAATATATTTGATATTTAAGGAATGTAATGATAATTTTACGGGGAATAGGAGAGGAGTTGCTTGTGTTAAACTATTACATTTTATTATTCTTCTTTAAGCAAGACTTTGGCAGGATTGATCACTAAAAATAAAAGATATAAATCATATTTTTATTTGTATCCACCCTCGGTTTAACGATCTTCAATAAATAAATTCTATTAAACAAGCAACTATTACAGTAACTATTAACTAATAAGATAGTGCCATAATTCATGTCTACATTTTATATCGTTATTCAAGCACACATTAAAAATATATCTTTTTAAATTCAGGATCTTCGATATTATTTTGTAACGTAGGCATAAATATTTCCAATCTCTTCAGCGATTACATCGAACAAAATTGCATCACTGAATACCAGACATTTGAAATATATTTGAGCAAATTCCAATATCAAAACTGTTTCAAAATTCATGAAAACAAGTTTTTAATACAGTACCTTTTTTAATCATTATATATTTTAAGAGACTTTACCTGCATCATTCTAAATCCTCATTCATGCCTAAATTTCATGTCATATCTTTTTTTGGGATAACATTATTATTACGGTTCTATCAACAGGCAAGAAACATGTAAGACAAATTTAATATACTTCAATACTGTAGTTAATCGAAGTATTTGCTGACTCAATTTTTAAAAGGAAATTAATATATTTTGTTTGGAAATTGTAGACATTTAAAGACATTGTAGAATATTAAAACTATAAATAGTAGTAGTTTTCATAAAGAACAAATAAATAAATAAATAAATTTTGAATTTTGATCACATTTAAATAATCTGCCTCTAAAATAAAAAAAATGATAAAAACAATTTACACTTTCTGCAACTGAAAGCAAATTACTTCAATTTGCAAGGTTTTTGTGTCCTAAAAATAATACAAGATTCAGATTTTTTTATTTTACTCATGCTTATTAGGGGGTTAACATGGTGTGCTGGTCCATCTCACAGCCTCTTTCACT